ATCTTCTACTCCAATATCATGAGGCACCTATCATCCCATTTCTTTTCTTTAAACAGCAGCACGGTTTTCAAAAGGTACTTTCCTGCGAAACGCAACTCTGCGACTTCATCCATGACTTGCACACTAACCTTGAATGTCACGTCCAAACTGACGCAGTTTTTTTTTTCCAAAGCGTTCGGCCGTGTCCTCCATCAACGCCTTCTTTCTAAGCTATCATCTTTTTGCCTCGACCAATAACCGTTTGCATGGATTCGTGACTCTCTTTTTTCCCGTGTACAGGTCACGTCCATGATGATCATGAATCTTCCTTAATAAATGTATCTCCTGGTGTTCCCCTGGGGTTCGTACTTGGGCCCTTACTCTTTTTAATATTTATTAATGACATTCCCATTGGGATTTCTTAAAAAAAACGCTTTTTCGCCGACGACTGCGTCATCCATAACAAAGTAACTTGTGTGCAAAATAATAACCAGCTTCAGGAAGATCTAGATAAAATTAACAATTGGTACAAAGAGTGGATTATGTCACCAAACAAGTATAAACGCAAACTAATCCACTTCACCAAGAAAAAAACCACTCTGTCATTTAATTACTTCTTGGACTCCGATCTGATTGAGACCGCTACTGTGTATAAATACCTTGGTGTAAGACTAACATCTGACCTTCCCTGGAATAACCACATTGAAGTCATTACCGCCGATTCATCTGGAACTCTTGGACTAAGCAGACGTAACTTAAAAAATCCCTCCACCCTTTGTCCCTAAGCTAACCTTTAACACGTACGTCAGACCAAAAATAGAATATGCTTCAACCATCTGGAATACCCATCGACTGTACCTCATCAATACGCTGTAGAGGCAGTTCAGAACAGAGCTGCTCGCTTCATTTCATCCACTTATGACTTTTCTTTCAGTGTCTCGGCGCTAAAAACTGAACTAACCATGTCCTCTTTGCAGCTTCGCAGGAAAGTCTCTCAGCTGTGCCTTATTCACAAAATCTACTACCACATTCCCGACCTCAAAACCACTTTGTTATTACCCCTCGACCGAACATCTTCTTGCCTCAACAACGTCTGCACCATCAAACACACTTCTGGCTCTACGAACGCTTTCAATTGGTCATTCCTTTCTCAAGCCATCAGCCACTGGAACAGTCCCCCATCCTCCATTGTCACCATCTTGGACCCTGCTGATTTCTCCTCTGCAGTAAAACTACACCTTTCTTGGCCCATGTGATGGTGTGCGGGGCTAGGCAGATCAGTGAAAACACTTACGCAGAGCGCTTGCCAGGCCAGACTTGTACGTAGTTCAACTACTTTACTCAAGTTACTGTAGTTTAACTACTTTTCTGGGTAGTTTAGTAACTTTTAATTACATTTCTATTCTAGTAATCAGTAGTTTACTTTAACTACTTTTCCGAGTGACTTCCACTCAAATTACAAATTACTTTCTAATTTTAGTGGTTGTTTTGCCTATCAACAGAGAACAGAGGTTGGAAGGTCAGCTGATACTTGCAGAGGGGGAAGCATCCGCAGTAGGAAAGGGGGGGATGGGAAGGAAGAAAGTGATTTAGATAGTCCAAAAAACCCCAAAATTTTAACGAGCCCCCGACTGCAACAACACTGCTACGAGGCGCGGGGAGCGAACAGACACGACGCAAGAGAGGTCGAGTAACTGTGGGATTAGCTCCCAATAGTGGCGTTTCTTTGTATTCCGAAGCTCAAGGAGACTTGACGCATTTGAAGAAAGGGCTTGTCCCCGCTTCTCTCCAATGTAGGAATTCTTGCCCACTACAGGAGGTGCACACACTGCTCCTTTTACGGTGCAGGCGATAGAACCCCTAACAACGACGCTCACGCCGGATGGGCTGCTCGTGTATCACTCGAAGCGCGTTAACCCACCCCCGCGCCTGCGTTCACGCCGCTTCGCGGTGACGGTGTGCGGCTGCTAATTACAAATCTATTAACCCACCTAGCCCCCCCACCCCCCGTACACGCCGCGGCGTCCGGTCGGCAACCCAAGCCCCGCTGCCCCCCATGCACTTCCGTAAATAGAGTCGATACGATTTAGTTTAGCGATGTTTCGTCAACAACATTCGTTTTTTTAGTATTAATGGTAAAAAAGAATGTAAATATCGCCAAATGCCTCGACAAAACAAAATGTTCGAGAAAAAAAAATAAAAAGAAGTAAGCCGGCCCACACCATAAATAGAACCCGGGTCTGACACGTATGAGGCAGACATCTCACCACTAAGTTACGCTACCTCTTCGGAAACTCGCATTGCATCCGCTGCCTATGTTGACGGCGGCAGCGCCTATCTCCAAGCAAGCAAGCAAAACTTTATTTTGTGTAAGGGCCTACGTCCTGGTCTGGACGGCCCGTCCGGCCCATGTCTCGCGGATGGATTCCGTAAGGTTACCGTGTAGCCTTGTTCGTGGAGCAAGGCTTTACGAACCAGCCAATCCGGCGTGCGTGAGCACCGTTGCTAGGGTTTGTATCGTCTGCGCGTTAAAAATATGCCCGCGCGGGTCGGGGGGCAGTGCCCTTGGTATTCCTTGGGCGCCGCCGGCCTGTGTCTGCTCTGCCCAGTGGCGGCCGTTTCAGGGGGGGCAAAACGCATGCCTTGCCCCCCCACTCTGAGAACTGGGGGGGCAAGTGCCCCCCTTGCCCCCCCGGTTGGTACGCCCATGGTGACTGTCTACTGCACAAACATCAGAGTAGACAGGATCGTCAAGAAATGCACTATCTTTAGGAACATCAGAGGAAAAACAACCACTGGAATGACTTGCAAAAAAGTTAGCGATATCCTTCGAATTAGATAATCAGAATTTCTTCTTAAACAGATACCGTGTGTACTGCCTTTTGTATGTTGGTTTGTGAAAAAGGTTCTTTTCTACTGCGTTTAAATGCACACACTCGTTATGAATAAATAACTTTTTTAACAAGAGACCGATAAATGCTGAACTTAGCATACCACATTTGCGATCCATTTCTTTTGTACATTTTGTGACAATGCGATTTTTTCTTTATGTAGTATATTAGATCTTTAGAATACCACGAAGGATACTTTCTAGGTTTCGATGATCGTTTTGGAATAAAGTTTTCCATTCCATTTCTCACTACCGTCGTAAACGACTTCCCCGCTGAGTCGACGGAATCGTCCTTCAAAATGGAGGACCAGTCGTAATTTTCAAAAACCTATAAAGACCAAAATAATCGCCTGTGTTGAAAGAGTAATACGTCTGCTTTGTGCGAGCTGCAGATTTCAACGAATTATGGAAGGCAACAATAAAGGGTGGGTGAAAAGCGTCTACCTTAACAAGTGAAACATCGGCAAGAATTAAGCCGATGATTGGCACATTTGAAAGAAAAATATCAAGGACGTTCCCAGCGCTGTTATCAAACCCGTTTAATTGACTATGTATAAAAGTCAGTAGGTGAGACGATTTGCTTGCTGTTATATTATTTTGACGAGTAACAAATCCTGACTGCCAGTTGGCACCAGGTAGGTTAAAATCACTATAAATGTGCACCCTGAACTTTGAAAAGTCAATTTCTTTTTCCAATGTATCAAAGTGTTCATTAAAAATATGATTATCCGATAGGAGAGGGAAATAATAATTCCCAATCAGGTAGTTACAACCATCATTCGAAAGCAATTCTATCCAAACGCATTCTGGGTAGGTTTCAAGGTCCTGTCTGCGATGCGAGGTAACTGACTGATTTACGGCGATTAATACACCGCCTCCGAATTTCTGGCGAGTTAAAGCATAGTCACGGTCACGACGGTGAACGGTATAAGAAGGCGGAAAATAGTCTGCACATGAAATTTCCTCGTTGAGCCATGTTTCAGTCAGACAAATAATATGAAAATTGAGAGAGACTACATTTGGCAAAAATGTGTCCGCTTTGGTTCGTAAGCCACGAGTGTTTTGGTAGTACGCATTAAATGTCTCCATCATTCATCTTGTCATGAGCGTTTTCATATGTGCTCATATATATATATATATATGTGTGTGTGTGTATGTGTGTGTGTGTGTGTGGTGTTTGTGTGTGTGCGTGTGTGTCGTGCTTAGAAATAAAAAGTACAAATTCCTCAGTTTCTAATTTATATTCAATATGATCGTACTAGTGCTGCCTATAATTATATGCCGTGTATATAGTATACCAATTTCATGATAATTGTACGGCTGAAATCCTTTTTTTTTTTTTTTTTTTTTTTTTTGCAGCGAGTTTCTGACTTTAGTTGAGAGAGTGTGCAGAGTGCATATGGGGTCTCAGAATGTTGGGGATGCACTAATAATAATAGGACACAATTAAAAGGCAAATCTGGTAGGGCCAACAGTTGACTTTCAATGCCAACGCCGATATACATATTTTTTTTTGGGGGGGGGGGGGGGGACGGTTGTTTTTATTTGTACACGTATGAACTGTAGCAATCGTTTTCGCCTCGTTGTTACCGGGTGTATGGGATAAATGAGAACCGCGTTCTTCTAATCGCCAAATTAAATTACGCATTGCCGAACGCTCAGCTCCCACCCATAGGGCTAGCGGTTGGCACCACGCGACCAAGTTTCAGAACTTAGCGTTATTCGATTCAAACGTTATGTAATTTTCGGAAATTTTCAATGGGGAAATGATGCTCACCGAAACCCGCGACTACATAAAGATGAATGACGTCTGCTACTGGGATAGGGCCGCATTTCCTCATTGGAACTTTCTGAAAATCGCTTAGTAACTTTTGAAACAGATAATGCTGAGTTCTAAGACTTTAATATCTGGCCCCATCTGCTGGCGCCAGATTTGGACCAAGACCAGCGTTGGGCGACGAGTAGTTAACTTTTGCGATAAGAAAAGCATGGTTTTCTTTTCTCTAAAATACCTAGTTTTCAAAACGTTTGCTGGTTACTGGTGGTGCACCTTCAGACTCGATATACTGTATAGCCATGCGACGTAATGCGCGTTGCCCTAAGACATTCTATTGGAATATGTTCTATTTGAACTAAAAGCTTTATGCACAGATGAGTTTACTGAAAGTCCAGTCCAAATAGCAAAAAAAGCGGTATCGTGTAATTTCTTGGATGGACCACCGTTTTATTTTACTCCTCAGCTCTCGTTCAACAACTTTTTTTTACATTGAGCAACCCGCTTCGGCCACCGTGGCTATATTCATTTGTATTGATTCGTGAGTTCTTCTTGGAAGTCCTTGATTCGGCCAAGCATGTCCAGGAGCTTTGCCATTGGTGGAAGTATGGTAACCCTGAAACAGATTTGCCAGTTAACAGATTGTGCCAAGCGCAGGTTTCAGATTTTGTTCTCTGGCTGCTAACCCCTATCTCAATCCATTCTGGTCATTTTCGATATGATGGATACACGCAATTGTAGTACTAGTGCATGTCATTACTAAGGGGTCTTCCGAGTCGACCCATGAGCCACAGACCTACGAAGGTGGCCGTACAAATTCCTGGGTGGCAATGTCCAGAATTCGTAATGCGACATTTGATTACCTTTCTATTAGTATCGAAGGGCATGCATAGTCCTTGGTGGAGCATCGAAGCGTTTGGGTATTGTTTTATTCATGGAAGCAGGATTACGCAGCCATCATTATTCAGAACGATCGCTATTATATAACTTACATATGTCATGGCCACGGAGGATTCGAGACGAGGGCCATAGCTCGTTCTTACCGGAAATGGCAGGTTCCCGGGAGTTGGCCAAACGCGCTGCCTGGTGTCACGCACACACCTTTTTTCTCGAGCAATTGACTCGCATAGAAATAGCTGGGCTCCTGACCAAGACTCTGCCCAAAGAGAAAGCAAAACATGAAAAACCGAAGATGTCTGAACGATTATATAGCCTGAAAGTCTAGGCTGGTTGAGAAGATAAGGAACTCTCTTCGGCAACAAAAAACTGCCAGCCACAGCAAAGATGAAGTATTGCAAAAGAAAAAAAAAGAAAAAAAAACACCAATTAGAAAACAATCAGCTACAAGTAACTCAGTGACTTTTTATTTAGTGAAAATAAACACATGGTTTCAATTAGAAACTTGCTGAGCGTCATCGAAAACCCCTAAATCAAATTTTAGAACGACCTGAAGCACGTGGGAAGCGAGGGGGTGCGCTGAAACATAGAGGTATTATAATGTACGCTAGAGGCTCAACTGGCGCTAGCGTCTATGCGACTTCCGGGATGCAAATTGAAGCAGACAGCAAACAGTCTACTTTTGCGGTGCTGCTGTGCATTTCCATTGGAAAACGCGCGTGCATTTTGTCTCTTCGCCGGAAAATAACATATATAACTTTTGTTATTTAGGTCGTACCGAATAGTATGTACTTTCATTAACATTGTAATAGTGTAATTGCTTTAGTTACAGCATTTTTCTTTGCCACTGAACGATGTTAAACTTTGCTATACTTCAGGCCCAAACCTCTGTTCCATGACAGGTATAATAACGAGCGACGACTCCAAGCAAAATAACGATCGAAAGGAATGTAGAGTGTGTTCAAGGTTCGCAAGCATTCTGGTGGTGCTTATATATTGCTTATATGCCCGTCCTGTCACTACATTATATGAAAATGATGCCGTCGTGCTTCTTTACGAGCGGTTAAAAAACATTCGAAACGTAAGAATAAATTATATGGGCTATGAAAGGTGTGTTTTTTTATTATTTCCTATGTCGGGCAGCTGTTATCGGGCACAGCTGTTCTCGGGCTTCTACCTATTTTCAAAACTTTCGAGCGTGCAGGTCATGTTTTGAACGCAGAACAAGCATATTCTCGGATATTCATGAGCAGACAGGATAAAGCAGTACTTATTGCAAATCGTTCTATATTACGTGACCTTCAATTTATTTTGATCGTCTGCATGCACAAGGAGTTACTGATCCAGTGTTACTGCGTACTTCTTGCGTGGTCTCGGTTTTCCACATGTCCTTGGTTCGTTTGGCACGTATATCCTCCGGGCTGGAAAGCGCCGACGCCGTGTTCGCGCTAAGAGTGTCTGACAGTGCACATAGGTACATGTACGAAGCCGTTTTAGCTCCGTCTTTAATTCCATGAATTTTAAATAAAAACTCTAACTAACTAATTAATTATTTCGTCTGCGTGACTGGGAAATGTTCCAGGCTATCTAGTACGTACGAATTATTGGTGATGTATGCTCTTATGATCAAGCGCAAAGAGAAAATGCACTCGCTTTTTACCATAGAAATGCATTATCGGAAGACAATTTCAGACTGGCTGCATGCTTTTTGTTTCAATTTGCCACAGCACACCAGCGCCAGTTGAACCTGAAATGACCACTCGTGCAGCAGCCGCAATGCCGGCCATGCGAAAACCCGGATGATATTCTTATCATTCGCATTATCGCATCGGAGATTTTGGTTGTAGCCTAAAGGTTCCCAGTTGGTCCAAACCATCGTCCTTTACCGAAGTGTACCAAAGTTCCTTCGTTGGTCTGGCACGACGTACCCTTCCTCCTAAAGAAAACATCAAATGTCAGGTTCCTCTGAGTTTTCTGCTTGAAACTGGTAAGCCATGTTTTATTAACCGTGATTGATTTATTTGTACATACTGCCACCTCGATTAAGGCAATTTCAGGAGTGGAAAACTGCGCTTCAATAAATCAGTATTAAAAAAACACACTAGAAATAACGATATAACAAGCACACATCAAGGCAAGATAAATTTTCCTATCTCTGAAATAAGGTTATGGTAGTGAGGCATGCGTATAGATCCATCAACATTCTTCCATAGCTCAATAGCGCGAGGAAAAAAGAAATGTTTAAAACAATTGGCATGAGATTGAAATGGTGTAATGTTAAAAGGATGAGACCGTGTGCGAGTGACTTCTGAAATTAACGTTGTTCATGCGCTGGATGCCGCGACCCCCATCAACAATTTTATGAATCATTTTCAACCGCTCCACAGTCCGCCTGAAAGACAAAGATTCAGTTCCCAACACTGTTATTTATTTATTTATTATTTATTTATACATACTGCAGCCCCACTGGGGCTATGGCAGGAGTGGGAGGTAAACACAGACGGTCCGGACATCACTGTGGACCACTGTCAACGGCACACAGAAATTCATCTGGTTGTAGTGATCGGATGTTTCCTGGTAATAAATTCCAGCGTTCAATGGTGTGAGGAAAAAAACTGTATTTAAACATATCAGTACGAGGATGAAAAGGTAAAATGTTTAATTCATGGTGGCTCCTAGTTGCAGTTGGCTCGAGAAACTTTATGTAGTTATGTAACGAGTCAAAACGTGATGAGTTAACCATGAAATACAGAGACTTTAGGCGCTCGATACCACGACGCTCAGAAAGAAGTCTTAGACCTAACACGGAAAGATTAGAAGAAGGAGAAAAGTTTCTGTCATACCGACGACAAATAAAACGTACCGATTTCTTTTGTACTGATTCGACCTTTTTTATATCGGACTCCTTGTAGGGAAACCAAATAATAGAACCATATTCGAGGATTGGGCGAATCAAAGTTTTATAAGTTAAAAGCTTAGTATCTTGTGGTGCCACACGTAAGGTACGCCGCAGGTATCCAAGTCTTTTAAGAGATTTGTTACATGTCGTATCAATGTGCTTAGACCAAGATAAATCAGGCGTGAAAAGGAGGCCAAGATATTTATATTCAAAAACTCTTTCTAGGCATAACCCGTCAAATGAATAATTAAACACAGAAGGTGATGAACGCCTAGAAAAGGTCATAAAAACCGTTTTACTAAAATTCAGGTTCATTTGCCAGGTTTTACACCACGTACAAAAATTCACGAAAGAATTGTTAAGAGTTATATGGTCATCTGAGGAGTTTATCACATGATATAGTACGCAGTCGTCAGCGTAAAGTCGGACCTTAGTGGAAATACAGCGTGGCAAATCATTGATATATAACAAGAAAAGTAGCGGTCCAAGAACTGACCCTTGTGGAACACCTGATGATACGTCAACTGTACTAGACTTGGATGAGTTGAAGTAGACAAACTGGGACCGTTGGGAAAGAAAACTGGATATCCAGTTCACAAGGTGATGATTATTTAGAATTAGGTTAAGCTTGTGTAGGAGTTTAGAATGAGGAACGGTGTCGAAAGCCTTTGACAAATCTATAAATATCGCATCAACTTGGATACCGATGTCAAGAGACAGACCGATATCATGAACAAACTCTGTTAGTTGTGTCATAGTACTATAACCGCGTCGAAAACCATGTTGGAAATCGCATAAAATATTGTTAGTATCGAGAAACTCTATTACATGCCTGTAGACTATATGTTCCAATAATTTGCATGAATGTGACGTTATAGAAATTGGTCTATAGTTTGACAGTGATTGTGAGTTGCCAGATTTGTATACGGGAATAATTTTTGCTAGTTTCCATGATGAAGGAACTGTGGCCGTTGACAGTGATTTCTGAAAAATAACCGTGAGATACCGACTGCACCATTGGGAGTACCTGACAATAAATGAATTAGGAATGTCATCAGGACCAGGACTTTTTTTAGTGTCTAACTTCAAAATCAGGTTTAGTACGCCCCGAACGTTCACATCTATGTCGTCAACCGCAGACTGCGAAACATGAGTAAAAGGAGGAACTTCGAAATTATCAACTGTAAATACTGACTGAAAGTACGTATTAAACGCTGTAGCGATTGTCAGCGCGTCCATAGTAGTTACGTCGTTAATTATAAACGAGTTTGAAATTGTGCTGCCTGGTAAAATAGATTTCCAGAATTTTCGAGGGTTGCATTTTATTAAGTTTTGTAAGGTAACACGGAAATAGAAGTCCTTCGCGGAATTAGTTTTTAGTCGGAGTTCCTCCTTAGCTTGAATAAACTGAGCAGACTTTACTGGGTCAGCGCAACGTTTTCCACTCCGCAGTCTGCCGACCCGTCGCGATAAATGTAATAATTCTCTTGTTATCCAAGGTTTGACAATGTTACTTTTTTTAGTTTTGAGTGGCACAAATCGCTGGATACACGATTTAACCAAGTCTTCAAAAAATGTAATGAGTACATTCACGTCACTGGAGATACTAAGTTGTTCAAACACTTCAAAGGAATAGCTTAATGAGTCAATTATGGACACATCATCGGCACGGTTAAAATCAGGAAAAGTGTGGTAAACAAAACGTGTTTTAGGGACAGGATAAGCAACAGAAACAAAGACTGCCCTGTGATCTGATATACCGTCAACGACTTCACATTCAAAATGGTTTTCTAGAAGAGGTATACTAAGAAATACCAAATCTAAAACTGACGACTCTCTCGTGCTCTCCTGAACAATCTGTTTTAAACCAAATGACAAAGAAAAGTTCACTAACTCTCTAGATATTTGAACGTCAGGACCAGATAGCGACAAAGACGACCACTGGATGCCAGGTAAATTGAAATCACCCATTAATATTAAATTGGAAGAAGACAGGTTATGCTCGTACATAAAGTCACATAAAGCATGTAACTGATCAATGGGAGAGCCGGGAGGGCGGTAGACAACGCCAACAACTAAAGATATATTATCCACATTAAGTTTGCACCACAGTGATTCAATCTGGGGAGGACCCTGTATAACTGAAAATTTAATATTGGACTTTAAAAAGAGTGCGACGCCACCGCCACGCCCGTACTTTCTATCACCTCTAACCACGCAGAAACCAGAGGGTGTAATTTCGGTGTCGTATATGCCATCATGTAACCATGTTTCAGTGACTCCAATAATGTGAGCAGAGTGGGAAGAAATTAGTGACAGAAAATCGGGGAACTTGTTTACTAAACTTCTGGCGTTAACATTCAAGACACAAAGATTTTCACTTAAACCGTCTTTTAAACCGCGGCCGAGTCAACGACCACCAGTAGATGGGGCGGTGGTAGTAGACTGGGCGGAGTAGTCGGAACACTTAACCAGAGTATTAGTTTTAACATCCCAATTATATCGCTCATTATTGATGAACACATGATCATATCGAAGGCGAACGGAGGAGCCACTGTCACGGAAAGAGGCCGTCGCATCCCATATTTTCTTTCGAACAGAACGGACATGAACAGAGAAGTCTTCCGATATACGAATATCTGAACCCTTAAGCTTGAAAGAATTTTTCAATACTTCCATTTTTTCGCGAAAATCAAGGAGTTTCATAATGACAGGACGTGAACGATCGTCGTGTTTTCGACCTATTCTATGGCACCTTTCAATACGTGGGCAGTCAATAATCAGTTTATCCGAGAATATTTTTGATACGTTAGAGAGTAATGACTCACTAGTTTCGTCTGCGCTTTCGGTGAGGCCATATAAGATTAGATTATTTCTGCGCGAGCGGTTTTCCATGTCGTCATTCCTCGCGACGAGTCTGTCTACCACACCAGACAATGACTTAAGCTCTATAAGCAGATTGTCACAAGATGTACAAGGGACACTTGGCGTGGCAGAAGGCGACTCGAGGGCAGCCATTCGTGCTTCAAGAGCGTCAAATCGGGAGTTAACTGACTGTTGGAATAATTTGATTTCAGCTATGTCCTGAGCCATCTTTTTCTGGCCAGCCAGCAATTCAGCAAACATATCCGAAACTGTGGGTTGTCTCTCGATATCTCTTCCGTCATTATCGCTCTCACCCGAATTAGCAGCCCTCGAGTCCTCTGTAACCGAAACTACGTTATCTTGTTTTGTTTTTTTTGCTGTCTTTTTTTGGTGGTCCTGGATTCGTTTCAACGTCTCCACTAAGGAGAAGGCTATTGATGCAATACACCAGCTGAGAGCACAGGTCAACAAAACAACAAATACCGTGATCGTATCCATGTGGGCGAGGAAATAGCAGTAAAAAGCGATTATCGGACCGTACACAATGAGCGTTCTGAAGGTAACATACCTGCGAAAGAAGCAGACAGCGGTTGAGCATACTGTCCTCGCTGCTATCGCCTCGCCCACTGAAGAGGAAAGATGCCGGTGAAGCTTTTCTATCCTCGTTAACCGACGTCACAGAACTGGGCCTTTCAATGATTGGACGATCCAGGAGGGCATCACCGACGGGGGTGACTTGCAGATTCACGGTTTGTAGGCCGTTAAGGAAACCGTGAACATCCTTAATTCCGCTGGCAAGGAAGTCCGTGGACGAACAAGACGGGTCGACCACGCAGCATGAAACAGTTGACGAAGCAGGAAGCGCCGGCAGTAGCTGGTATCCGTGCGCCGCGGTAGCATTGTACACAGGAACAGCGAGGGACACGAAGAACTGCGAAAGAAGCAGACAGCGGTTGAGCATACTGTCCTCGCTGCTATCGCCTCGCCCACTGAAGAGGAAAGATGCCGGTGAAGCTTTTCTATCCTCGTTAACCGACGTCACAGAACTGGGCCTTTCAATGATTGGACGATCCAGGAGGGCATCACCGACGGGGGTGACTTGCAGATTCACGGTTTGTAGGCCGTTAAGGAAACCGTGAACATCCTTAATTCCGCTGGCAAGGAAGTCCGTGGACGAACAAGACGGGTCGACCACGCAGCATGAAACAGTTGACGAAGCAGGAAGCGCCGGCAGTAGCTGGTATCCGTGCGCCGCGGTAGCATTGTACACAGGAACAGCGAGGGACACGAAGAACTGCGAAAGAAGCAGACAGCGGTTGAGCATACTGTCCTCGCTGCTATCGCCTCGCCCACTCAGACGATGGTGAGAAATGTCGATCAAAATCTTACTTTAATAACTGAAAAAAAAATTATAAGTTAGTTCACTAACTGATATGCAAGTTTACCAAAATGGTTTGCACTGCTGAACACTGGGAGAAAAGTCAAAGAAAAACAGATACCTTTGCTTTGTCGATAGCTTTTTGTGGTAGTAAAACTCGAGGGAAGGCGCACATGGCCCCCTGAATGGGGCTGCAGTAGAACCCTTCAATGCTGTTCAATGTGTTTTGTACCAGCTCCGCTCGATTCTTGAGGGACTCTAGGATCGTGTTCTTTTCCTTGCACAATCGGAATAAAAGACGTGGAAGAAAGAAAGCATAAAGTGAGTTCGCTGTCAAGTATTCCTATGTCAAGCCAAATTACTACTAACTCTGCTCAAAGCGAGTCTGATCCTGCAGTTACCTTGAGGTATAAGTCGTACGATGGGTCACCAAGCTGGGGAGGTTTGACGAGACAATCCAAAGCCACCTAGCGGGAAGTAGCAGTAATATTTTAATGGGGCGGGACTCTCTGTAGATTGACTATAATACAAGGTCATTAATGTGTGAACTGAGATAATCCAGGGATACAAGAAGTACTGCATCGCTAAATTATTCCCCCGTGATGTTATCTTCCTCAATAATAGGCCTATATGTGTGGCCGATTCTCCCACCGGCGAGTATAGTGGCGAGTCGGCGTCTCTGTCCTGCTCCATGGGTCACGGGATTAATTTTAATATTTAGATCAATATTTTTTTAACACTCTTTTGCGAGATTTATTTTGCATTTTTGTGTAATGCCTAACAGGTTCATTTAGATATTCAGAGAAGCAAAGATGGGCTGAGTTGTGTATCAAAATTTTTAATATGCTGATTAACCTAGGCTACATATTTTGGAGGTTATGGGGCAGATGTTTGGAAAAAAAGGTAAACCGAGAGAAAAATACGGCTTCAAATTTAGAAAACATGTTTACGGCCTGTGTCATTGACACGACCGCTGTGCCTTTCAAACTCTGTCAACTTTATAACCTATGTTCAACGCCCCCCCCCCCCCCCTTAAAAAAAAAAAAAAAAAAACTTTCTGGCTACGGTAAACTGTATACATACAACAATTCACAGCTGCTTTCGTAGTTGGTCATTATTTCGATCAAATGTAAGGCGTGGAGTTTTAACGTAAAGGAGACGAATTACTTTAGAAACTCGCGAGTGTAGAAGACTTTTAGTTAAGACATTTTGTGTTTACAACCGAAAGCATTATAAAAAATAAAAATCCCCCGGGCCATAAAGACAGTTTTTACTTTAAAATGTTTTTTTCCGTTCAGTGAAGAACGGGAGATACCTCTTTATCATACCGCTGTAAGCATTCTGGCGATTAGTAGGGAAATTTTAGGTTTCATTGGGTATATTCGTGATAAGTTGCATGTCATAGTTGGCTAATTCACCCTAGCACGCTTCACTGTACTATGTGATTCGTGTCCTGTCAACTGCTCTACATAAAGCCCGTCGTAGGGAATTTACGCTCACCTGCGAGAGAGTTGAGGGCAGCAGCTCAACCACAGCTTTCAGAAGTCTCTTTTCGTCGTCTCCATTCAGGTTCACGATCTCAAAGTAGCCACATTGTAGACCGTCTCTGTGATCACACGACATGCAGCATTAGACAGGCGAGGTTCCTGAATGCTCGTATAATTTCTTTGAGCGATGTTATTGCAGTTATTTAGTACGAGTTCCTCCTATTTTTTTTTTCTATCCAGACTATATGTGCAAATTAATCTGGACAATTATATGGCTCAGAACAGGCAGACGGACTCGCACCGTATGTCCGAAATTTTTAAACACAAATGTAACGCAGTTTATCCTAGAGCTATGGCATCTTGGCCTAGTGAGTAAGCGTTGGGAGTACACGTGAGGAGCGATTGACTCAACAAGGTTCGCACGTCTCGAACGGGGAATCGTTGTCCTTAAAAGGCTTCATGATTGTACTGTCAGGTTTCAACGTCTCTTAAACACTTGATCTGAGACACCCATAAATCATGGCCGCTCATTCCAACCGCCAGAACCAACCACACTCCAGCTACTACTTCTTTCTCCTCAACCCGGCGGCTCGGCTGAGCGTAGCAACGGTCGACGAGTCTCGTCGGCGAAACCGATACCTTACAATCCTCCCCCCTTAGATTAAATGTTCAGCCGGTCTTCACAAAACTTCAGCAGCTGGTCAACATGTGCCAGTCCCGCTGGTCGTCCAGTATTGCGGTCCTTCAAGCGATAGGCATTCAGCCCCACTTTCCCCACCACCACGAATGGCCCAGAGCATCTCGGTGCCAATTTTGCCGCCACGCCCTTGCTGGCATCGCTCAGAGTGCAGATCACGGAGCACTAGATCACCGATCCTAAAGTTACACTGTCGTCGATTTCTGTTGCAGTAGCGGCGCTGCTGCTCTTGGGCTCTTCTCTGGTTTTCTAGCGCAAACTCGTGTGCGTCTTGCTGCCTAGATGTCACCTCTGCCACGAAGCCTGGAGCTCGGCTGTCTGGTGTAGGAAGTTGACCGGGGTTTTGTTCCCATGGTTTGCGGAGCTGGCGCCCATAGCACAGAAAAGCTGGCGTGTACCCTGTGGTCACACTTTCGCAAGTTCTCATCGCGAATGAAACTTCGGGGACACGTTGGTCCCTGTCACGATGGTCACGGCAGTATGCCACGAGGCACTGCTTTACTGTTGCGTTATGCCGCTCTACCATCTGCCCTGCAGGGCGGTACGGTGCCGTGTGGCGGTCTTTGATGCCGAGGTGCTTCATGACGTTCTTCCACAGCCGAGAAACGAAGACTTTTCCATTGTCACTGGATATGCTTTTTGGGAAGCAATGCCGACAAAACACCTCAATCATCTTTTCCAGGACGGCCTTACTGGTCGGAGCGCGAAGGGGAAATAGTTCAACAAACTTCGTGAACTTGTCGATGACCACGAGAAGATATCTGTGGTGGCGTTTTGATATAGGCAATGGCCCAATGATATCTACGCTCAGCTGTGCCATAGGTTCCTCTGCCCAGGTACTGTCCATTAGTCCCCCCGGCTTTTGACGACGAGGCTTCAGAGTCTGACAGGACGGGCAAGATCGCACATAGCGTGAAACGTCAGACCTCATACTGATCCAAAATACCTTTCAGTGACCCGCTTCAGAGTCTTGAAGTACCCCAAGTTTCCACTTAAAAAGTTATCGTGTGACAACTGCAGTACCGTCTGGCGTATTTGTTTTGGAACCCAGATGAGTTTTCTTTCCCCTGAAACCTTTAGTAGCTGTCCGTCATGATCGATTTCACTATCATTAGAAACATGTTGTGTTCGACGTGCCTCTGTTTCGTCGGTCGGTAGAGTTCGGTCTTGGAGGTAGCGAATTACCTCGGAGATTTCAGGATCTTTCTGTTGTTCATCAGCCAGCTGGGATGCATTGAGGAGGAGGGATATGTCCGTCTCCTCCACTGTGGCATTTTCCTCGAACCGAAGTGGGTGCTCTGGCTCCACCGTCTCTATGGGGAACCACTCATCGGTTTCGGTGTCCAGTGCTTCCGACGGCGGTACCGTGACTAAAGCAGGGAACCTGCTCAAAGCATCAGCTGGGATGTTTGCTGCTCCTTGACGGTGTCTGATGAGGCAATCGAAACCTTGCAAGCGTAGCACCTATCGACGTACCCTGCTTGAGGTCTGTTTCGTGGTGAACATCCACTTGAGAGAAGCGTGGTCGGTGTGTACCTCAAACGTGGTATGCTCCAAATACGGCCTGAACTTGTCAATGGCCCAGACTACGGCCAAACACTCCCATTCTTGCACGGTGTAGTTCCTTTCAGCTGCGTTCAGAGATCGACTAATAAATGACACTGGCCGCAGTGAAACCTGACAATATATATCAGGGGTCTCAAACTCATTCAAGTGTGGGGGTCAAATAGCCCACACCGGAAAGGTCGCAAGCCAACGTAAGACGGGGGAGGGAGGGGGGGGGGGCATAAAATTATATAGCGAAGAGACCTCGCTCTTTATACTTTTTGTAAAATCACAGTTTTGCCAGTGAGGTCTTTCACTTCTATGTGTTTTATGACTACTCTGGGCCCTGCCGGTGATGTGATAACTAGAATTAAAATGACACCGCCCCGCCAACGTGTAACTAGAACTAAAATGACACCGCCCGCCAACGTGCTGCTATTTTTAATAGAACAAGGGAAGAAGTACACTGTCGTTCCCGAGCTCTAAACATATTTCTAAAAACAAAACAAAAAATCGGTTAATTTGGCAGTTCTTGCTTTCCTTGCGATTTTTATTACAACACTCTGAGCAAATGCTTGATTTTTAATTGTGACATTTTTTGAAGGCGAGGATCCCGATCTCGTAGCTTTATTTTCGGCTGTTGCTCCGGCTGATCGAAAGTTCGCGCAGCCCGAGATGCACCCTTCAACGAATAGCTCGCGCTTGAGGCCTGGTAGCGAACAGTTGTACCTTACAAAAAAGCTGGGAAGCAAAAAATGAAGCGAAACTAACGGCAAATAAACACAGATAAGTGTAAACTATGTGAATGCGTTAAAAGAGCAGCGCAGGTTTCAACGTCTCATAAACACTTGATCTAAGACACCCGTAAATCATGGCCGCTCATTCCAACCGCCAGAACTAACTACACTCGAGCTATCTACTACAGCGGAGCCGCCGGGTTGAGCTATCTACTCAACCCGGCGGCTCCGCTGAGCGTAGCAACGGTCGACGAGTCTCGTCGGCCAAACCGATACCTTACAGTACACACACGCCTGTCCATATCATATTGAATGTAACTATATTTTGTAGGCATATAGCCAGTAATAGATAAAAACAAATATCACTCGGAACTGCTAAATTCGGATATGAACGGCAATATACTATGCGGCCACCTTACTATCGATGCAACGCAGGCTACTCACTCTGCCATGATACCCTTCGATAATGAATTGAAGGTGATGAGCTGTGTTTTGGACCAGGGATCTCCCATCTTGTGCATAACCTTACGAAAACTGTGAAATGGGGCATGCTCCGTGTAGATGTTGTGCTCAAACACCTACGAAACAAATGTATGCACATTTTATGGTTAGCTGCTCCTCACAAAATATGTAGTTTGTTGTGCGAATGCCACGACCTAGAGGTGACTTTTAGAGTATTTTTATCCCATGAATCTGAATATCACGTCCGTTTTCTCCGAAGATCTAACTAAACGAAAGAAAACACAAAAAACCTCCGACCAGTCGTTCCGTTATAAAATAATCTTTCGGCCCTTTTATGACGTGTCGTTCGTGTGGGCAGTGCGTGCAATTGCAAGCTTGCCAGGTATATTTCCACGCACTGACAGCGATCGTAACGTCTTTTTCTGACTTCTTTTTTATTATTTTTCTTTAATGGCAAGAGTGCGCGTGCATAGCTTTGATAGGCGTTGAAGATGCGCGAGAGCGGATATTCCGAAAACTCCTTTTATGACGTCATGCTCCGGGAAGGGGAAGCTTCAGCGGTACTTTGAAAATGATTTTCTGCAGCCTCCGTGCACCAAATTGAAGAACAATCATGATATTCGTGATCCTGGTGGCCAAATGAAAACGATTTAAGGGTTTTTCATCAAATACAGAACTGCCTCAGTTTCCCTTTAAATTCAGCTGTTCACATTACTAAAGAATTGACGATGCTCGTGCTAATTTTAAATTGACCATCCTACGGCATAGCTGTCTAATTACGTTATTTGTCCGCTTTGTGTGGATAGTTACGTTTGCAAAATAGACGTAAAATATTTAAAGAATGTTGGAATCAGGGATTCGACAAGAGGTTGTATGAAGTTTAGCTAAGCACGAACAAAGAATTCTCGGCAAAAAATTACAAATTGATTGGTAAAATTGATAGAAGCGATCTCCGACAATGACTTAGCTAGCATGTTTGTTGCAAGGGCATATCTGAAAGGAAAAGAGTCAAGTGATAAAGTAAAGGGACTTGCCTCATCAGCTAGAATTATTAGGTTGTTTTGGTAAGAAAACCGGATGATGTCCACGATTCTCTCGGCTGAGAGGACCGTTGCTGAAATAGCCAACAAAAATTTGATCCTCTTATGAACACCACGCCACGCCCGTGTTTTAAGGCCTGTTGGCTACTCCTTAAAAAGCATAATGCTTATTTTTCGGGCATGCGCATTGGTGTCTGAGCAGTGTTAGGAGGTACGGAATGTAATAAAAGGGGGGGGGGGGGGGGGTATATGGAAAGGAAAGGCCACTACACAGTCTTCGCATTTTAGTATTGCTTTCGCCCGCATTATGTAACTATAATCGGTGGCAGTTTAGGGGAAGTCACCTTTCCCCCTTTAGCAGAGTGAACTCAGGATAGGAGGCGACCTTCTCTCCAGCGTTAGCTCTGCTAAAGTGGACAGAGATGGGATGAGCTTCCCCTGAACTCTGAACCTGTCACCGACTAGAGTGCTTCTTGCATTGAAATAAACACAGACAACGACGAAAGCGCCAAATGTTTAAAGGTGGCAGAAACAGGTTAGCCAGTTTACCCACGATGGAAACGAAAGCAAGTAAATACGCTGGAGTATACCAGAGCGGGATATACGGAATTATCACACAAGCGCCGCGCAGTGGCGACGCTCCAACACAAATCAAGGTGGCTTGGCTTAACAATGGCTCGACTCCCGCAGGGGAAATTGAAAACGTACTCTGCAACTCGTAAAAAGGCAATGGTAGGACGGAACAAGAAGCGTAAATCTCATTAAGCGTAGTGGGCCCGCGCAACACCACCTAGAGCAATCAAAGCCCGTACACTAGAATTTCGACGTCATCACAGTGAGATCGAGCGAAGACACCGATTGGTTACGAGCGCTGCGTCAGTGCTCGGCTGGGCCTCCTGTCCAATCAGCCCGGTGCCGAACGAAAAACGTTCGGCACCGGGCTCGGGTCTAATTGCTGTGTTGGCGCCATCCGATTGGGGTGACGCTTCACGGAGGAAATGTGGGGCGTTCAGGGGCCTTCATTATTCTAGATGGTGTTGACCCGGGGCCTCAACCCCAGCCGCAGGGCCCAGGCAGGTTGTGCATGCCTGACACCGTCCCCGGACTCTCTTCCAAGCCGGGTGAAAAAAGCGGCGGTACAGGGAAAACGGACGACACGCACCAAGGAATTTCATTTTATGAAATCCAGATAGATTTTCCCATGATCCCAAGCTCGCCCGGTCTGGAAGAGCGTGTTCCTCTTCACACGGTCCTGCTTAGAGGAAAGGCGACCCGCACGCGGTTAAAACTCCCTTCGTCTCCCTTCGCACCATGCTTTTCTGCACGCCCGAGTACCCTTGCGTTTTACCCCCTAGTCCCCTAGTCCTTGTTTCATCTTTCTAGGTGTGCCATGCATCCTCTCTTTTTTTTTTGCGTAATGTTGGTGATTATTCCAGTGATCTCTCGCATTAGTGTCTCCCGTAGCGGATGTGAATTACAGAGGTGCCCTGTAATACCTGTTGGGTTGCCAGGATTGACAACGAACAGGAAACGCGGCTCGCAGAACTTCCGGGATGCGTCAAGTGACCTCTGCATTCTGGAGATACTGTGAGCCCAGCCATTGTTTTCGTCGAGGTAATAAAGAATCTGCGGGAAAAAAAAGCACTGTGGTCTATTACGACCGGCGGCACGCATCCGCCTTCGCATCTCGTACGCCGGACGCGTATTGGGATTTCTTCACGGAGTAAAATTGTGGGGCGAATCCGGGGTCCCTGATTGGCCTTTTGTCCAGCAACGTCACAAACGGCGGCTATGTGGCGCAAGCTGCCGCCCGTTATAAAAAGTGCAGCCATTAAAAGATCCATCCTTCCATCCATCCATCCGGTTTCTTTCCTGACTCGACACGTTTCCCTGGTTTGCGGTAGCGAGAGGAGAAAATAAGGGAGGAAGGGGAATTAACCAAAGGAACCAAAAAGTTGTTTTGGCTACAATTAAATTTACACACGAAAGAATAAACAAATAGGACGGAACACAGAACACAGCATCTTTAAACTAACAACGAACAAGAATGCTGTGTGGATGGGCGTTTAGGCTGGTTCACACAGCCTAAAGAAACGTTACGAAACGCTACTATGTGAACCAGCCTAAAGGCTGGTTCACAAAGTATTGTTTCCTTACGTTTTCTTACGTTACTTATAAGCCACCGAAAGGTTCGTGTTTCGAATGTAGCGTGCCAGGCTATCTCCTTGAACTGGCAGTCACGCTTAATAGGAAGCCCCTTGGTGACTTGTACGTAAACTTGTGCAACGTAACGTAACGGAAGAAAACCGGGCCGTGTGAACCAGCCTCCAAGTCCTAGTAAGCGCCATATTTTGTGCGGATTCGTTGCCGGGGTGTTGCTTGTTAAAGGCGGTACTCCGGTGCTTTCTTCATAGTCCCCAATTTTCACGAAAATTTGCTAAGGACACCAACAGACATCGCTGAAATATTAACCCAAATATTCGGCCAAAATAAGTTTTTTTTTTTTTTTTTTCGCGAAGTTACTGAATTTAGAATTTCGGTCCTCGCCGTGTTTTTGAAAGTGAAAGTCTCTACTGGCAACATGAAAAAAAAAATGACGTCCGGGGAAGACAGGGGTTCACTTTTTGGACTGTAGACTTTATTATTGGAAGGCAGGGGTTCACTTTTTGGACTGTAGACTTTATTCCTAACTCATTGCAAGCTCTTCATGGTGTCAAGTGAATGCTATAGAAGCTCGCTCCCTCACCCGCGCAGCAGCACGAAACAAATGCTCGGCATAGTCCATTTTTTCGACTGCCCGCTCGACCAACCAAGCCAGCTTTATTCCCCTGACTTTACGGCATTGAAAAGCGCGGGTATATTTGAATCTTATTGGTTTTGGCGTCATTATCACTTGCCGATTTCACAATAACTGTTCTGAATTTCGCGATACTAAATAGCACACCGGAAAGGGTAATAAAGGCCGGCGGTTCCGTAAATATAGTTAGTCAGGGTAACTACAGAAATCGCCGGAGTACCCCTCCCCTCTAAATAAATGCTCCAGCGATTTTTTTTTTTTTGTCTCTGTTTTGGCTAAAGATTAGCTAAACACACCGATAGACACGGCTGCACCACTCCCCCGAGTATTGCGGGAAAATAAATATATTTCTTGAAGTTATAGAATTTTCAAATTTCGTTCACATCCTATTTCTCAAACCGAGACCCCCTACTGGCAACACCGTAGTGTGACGACAGAAATGGTACAAAGGGGGCAGTAAAATAAACAGCATACCGGGAAGACTAAAGTCCTGGTATTCAGAAAATGCAATTTGGGTAGCTCGCAACACGGCCGGAGTATCCCTTTAATAGACCGCATCTAAAAATCGCAAAAGGCCGCGCGCGAAGTCATGTACGCTTCTGCTTGCCCCCACGTGATAATGAAAAGAGCGAGAGGGTAACGCGGTTGCTCGCCTGCCTTCGCCCGCTCGCTGTCGCCTCCAAAAAGGTTGCTTCTGACTTCTGCTACAGCTGGTTGTACCTTGAGTTCCCGGCATTCCTTTCGGCGCCGCGAGCGACGCTACTCGCGTTGTCAAAGATCTAGTAAAGCGCACTTTTCTCTTTTTTTAATACATTTTTTTTTGTTTGTTTAGACGAGAAAGGCCTAAATCAGTGCAAATTCTATCGAGCATAAAACTACCATAACCAAATTCTTTTCACCGAAGGAAACAGACCGACTAAACCTCCTTGATGCGTTTGTGTGAATTTTATGAAAATGCTTTAAGACAGACCGCCGTGCTTACAAAGTTATTTTCACTTTTTTTTAAATTTTATTTAAAATGCAGTTGACAGTGCCGTTGTGCCCGGTTAATTTCGTTATCACTGGCATTTCGTGCCATACTATAGTTGCTGGCATTTCGCACCATACTGTTAGATTCGCGAAAGTATAAATCTAAAATTGCACCATAGGTTGGTCAGAACGTACGGCAGAATGGAAACGCTAAATGGTGTGCCTGGGTATCGTGTTGAACATAAAGACCGAGTAGTGTACGTACCTTCTGAAATCCGAACTCATCGAAAAAATGGTGGAACGCCACGTACTGGGGCATGCAGGTCATGGCGCCGGGCGGCTTTCCGTTCTTGCACTCCTTCAGCACGTTCATCACCAACTGTAATAACGGCCAGACTTAATGGGCGAATCTCACCATGATGCGACAGAAAGCAGACATATGTTTGTGGAGGCGCCCGTATCTCTTGTGTCGCTGCAGCGTACGGCGACAACGTCGATACTGGGTAACGTGGCGCGTGTTCGACAAGGCTACAAAGGATTCGATTCTAGTGTGTTCTTTTCTTCACCTTTTAGATGGAGGGTATTTAGAAGAAGAAAAAAGGCTTATGGGAGGCAGTTTGATCGACATTACGGCATACATCAGCGAGGTAAAATATGTAATTTTCCGTTAACCGACCACCTTTTTCACTCTGAACGATAAAAACATGCAAAAATTATAAAAAGAAAATATTAAATGTAAACCTAAAATAAAAAAAAAACGCGCTGAACATAAGAAGGTATCGAGAAAAACAAATTGTACTGGTTTTTAATTTAATCTTTACAGATTTTTTTTTAAGCCATGAAAGCTCCGCTAAGGCGGTTTGTAAAAGTGAGTTATGCGGCCAGGGGGACATAATATAGGAGGATAATCATCAGGATAAGTCGGCTAATTAACTAAATATCTTAATTAACTTTTTCAATTAGTGGACATAAACATATGGTTCCAATTAGAAACCTGTTGAGCGTCATCAAAAACCACCAAACCAGTCAATATTGGAAAGCGTTGGAAGCACGGTGGAGCTCTCAAGTTCCCACTCGTGACACGGGAGCAAGGCTGCCGCTGCGATAAGGCGTCCGCGCGGTTCTTCCGTCTCTCATCCTCCGGGTTTTCTCAGCCCAGCCTTGTGCCTGCTGCACGAGTGGTCAGTTTAGCGCACCACTGGCGCTTCCCACGCGCTCAGAGTCTTTCTAAAAATTTTTCGATGACGATCAGCAAGTTTCTAAGTGGAACCATATGTTTATTTTCTCAAATTAAAAAGTTAAATAACACATTTTAGTTAATTATTCGGCTTATTGTGATGATTAGCCCCCTATATTATGTCCCCCTGGCTGTGTAACTCACCTGCATCAACCGCCATTCACGGCTTTTTAAAACAAATCGGTAGAGCATAAAAAAAAACACCGGTATATAGAAAAATGAAAATTTACACTTTCAACCAATGCCTCCTCTACAAAAGATGAAGTGTCGTTATCAAGAGTCTCTATGAGGGTCAAGTGTCCCGATCAAGTCCTTACCGTTGCGCCGTGGAACACTCCGGAACAAATGAACACATCGTTCATATGAGCCTGAACGCCGTCCCGTTCACTGATGTATTGGGCCACGTGTTGACGAATAATGCTAACTCCCTTGAACATTAGGGATCCTGCAAAATACGAATTGGCAAAAATGGATCCTGCAAAATACGAATTGGCAAAAATCCCTACCGAACGTTCTCCAGAATGTCGGCTGACCGATCCATCTCTTGGTTCCGAATATTAGTAACCGCGTATCGCGCACTACTGCACAACGCGACGTCAAGGCGCCAGAAACGTGATATACGAAGCAAAAATAATAATAATATTAAAATAAAAATACTGACTTTTTTTTAAATTTTATTTCATCCGTTAGGTCCGAACGGCTTCGGACTCGCGCTCTCCAGCTTGACAGTCCACGACAGCGACACTCACGTCTGCTCGCGATTTTTGCCGCAACTTCTCGGACCAATCACTAGGATTGCGACATCCGACAGCATGACGGCTTTTGTGACGTCATTTGTTGCCACTTCGGGACCTATTTCAGGACCTCTTTCAATGCATGGGCGGATGTATAGGACGTTAAACACACCAGTCGGAGACGCCTTCCCGACACCGCAGCAGGATTAGCCACTCGTGTTCTCTGCAATGTTGATCTACAGCTACAGCCCTTCCAGCATTCTATAGCCCATTGGTTCGGCAATCCACGGTCTGCCAGACGCTTATACTACCAAGTTTTTAGTCGGATGAATTTCGCTTTCATCGACGGAAATAAGAGTAATCTCTGCTCGTATACAGTACGTGAGCTGGATTCGGCTGACGACGTGCTTGAACACTGCGGATGCATCGGAGTGAAAAGGCGGAGAGCTTCTAGAAGGATAGAAGGCAAGGAATGGGGGGGGGGGGGGGGGGGGGGGGGGGGGGGGGGTCCACTTTTATTTTCAAGATTTCATACCAAAAATACTGCTTTGGGCTTCCTATTTTTGAGCGCTATAGCTTTCTTTTCACTTTGGAAATGGTGTGCAGTTAGTAAAGTTCTAGTTTAAAGTAATTTCTTAACAATGTACGCAGCACATCATTTTCTTCGAGCATTGAAAAGCCAAGCATGTGGTGTGGCCACAATGGCGGCACGTGCCAACAAAACGCGCCTGGTTCTGGAGAAATAAAAACCGCACAATGGGATGGTACAAAAGTAGAAGGAGCGCACAGGACAGACTCCTACTTTTGTCCCGTCCTTTTACCTTGTTCTGGCCACGAGTTGAAGGGATATCCAGTGTTGCCCATTTTGGCAGGGGGAGTTTACTAATAATTTAAAGGTGCAAGCGAGCTGGACAAGAATGACGATGATTATCCCCGGAGAAAAGGAACCTAGCTGTAGTTCGCTATCACCAGCTAACCCAGAGAAAAAAGCGCAGTATGGCGCCGCATTCACTGTACGTTGGAGATAGACTAAGGCGACGAGTGCCGATGCACCTTTCAAAAGTGAGAGCTTGAAGGCGCTCACGTTGGCGTAACGAGAATATCCTGATTGGTAGATAGGGTCATGACATCACAGACACACTCGCGGGAATTTCAAACAACGCTATCAGATTAGCTCAGTTACGGAACTGCTCATAGACGCTGCATGCACGGACAGTAACCCCCCCCCCCCCCCCCTTTCACTCACCACGACTCGCCTCCCGTCGTTCGACGCACCGGACGGCTGCTATAGACGCTTAATAGACACGCGCCAAATTACAGCCGCCATTGCTGACCTTCTCTTGTCTTACCGAGATGCCGAGCAACTGAAACGGTAGTTGACAATCCTCTACAAAGGCCGATGCTTTAGAAAAGGACACAATTGAATCTAAAACGGCAATAATTTTGCCTGCTATGGTAATGATGAGGTGAAATAAACGAAATAAGAGGAAAAACTGAAGGTCAGTTATGGCGGCGTCCATGCACAGCTGCTGCAAAGCGTCTATAGGGTAACTGCCGTGTGTTCTATGGAATACGTAAGTTTCGAAGCACAGCGTCTGGATGGCGTTCCAGCGTACTCTGTAGAAGACACAGTTCGTAAACGAAAGTCTAGATGGCGCTTCGAACGACGGGAGGCTGACTGAAGGGAGTGAGGGGGAGTACCGGCCTTAGAAGTGCCTCCTTCCGCGGGAGTTCCACAAGTGAGGTAATCTAGTAACGTTGGCTCCGTTGAAACGTGACGTCACTCTTGGAATGAAAGTGATTAAAAAATTACATGTAATGCGAATGAAAGGACGCCGCATGTCTCGAATGATTTCACTTTATAAAGTAATTCGTTTGCCTCAAAGAAAATATTCGAAGAATTTTAGGCGGAGGCGGGATTGGGACCCACGGCCCCTCGGTTACGAGCCAGACACGCTACCGACTAGACACGCTTGAATGGCTTTGGAACGAGCGGGGGTTTATATGTTTAGCCATTGCGTTCCTCTCTTAAAGGCGGAGCTTAAGCGTCCTGTAATTTTGGCGTTGCTTGATTGCAGACTGCGTTTAAACTTTTCACAAGGACGTCTTTAGGTGGTGCATGTGTCATGCTGAAATTTTATGAGTGTAGGTCTTAGGGGTAAAACATATTTACTCTGGGGGTTCGATGTATACTAGCAGTTCACACCTGATGGTGTTACCTCTCAAAGTCTAAAGGGGCGACTTTCCAACATGGCGTCCCTGAGTCGAGTTAAACTTCTAAGTTCATTCATCGGCCAAGTTACTCGTGTATGAACTGACTTTGTCACGCTCTGTGTAAGTCATGAAAAATGTGAATCATAAGGATTCCTCTAAATGTTTGGCACAGCGCTTTTTATCCCGCCTTGGTTCGTTGCCGTGCTCCAGTTAGAACCTCACCGACGCTGTTTCCGGGACAATGGTCGAGGATCAAACGAGCTCTTGACACCACGTCACTGGGCAGCCAACTTTCTTCCATAAGCTGCGGCAGCGCGCAAGCAGCAACGAGCTGAAAAAAAAAAAAAGAATTAAGGAAAAATCTTACAGCCTTTCCACCCTGGTGAAGAAGGAAGACCAGCGGAGCTGTACAACAGAAAGTAATGGCCGGCCGCAAGTCGGCAAGCCAGAGTGGAAAGGCTGCCGCCATCTATGAGCGACGGCGGCAACCAGATACCTGTGTGGTGAACTGTGATCAGACATTTCAACGAGGTGCAAGAAAGAAGAAGAAGACGGGATTTGGAAAGAACAGAAGCACGAGACAACAGGCAGAAAAAGCAAAGGTGTTTGGAACAACGAGGGCGACAGCTGACTGGGGGTTCTTTCTGAGAGCCGTCGACGCAAACAGAAACGACTGGGCGTAACTGCGAGGGACAACCGGGCCGTATTGTGAAGACGATGTTCCGTCGTCCCGGACGACTCACAGTGGCGGCTGCACCGACCATGGAAGGCGTCACCACTTCGTTGCCAGAACGCCACATCACCACTTCGTTGCCAGAACGCCACATCACCACATCGTTGCCACAACGTCACCACCGTCGTTGTCAGGTGAAGTGAAGTGTTTCACTCTGACCTCCACAAACCTTTTTGACTTGAGACTCGCATTTATTATTCAGTGGCTCATCAACTAGTTGTTTTATGGCTACCCGAAGGGAACTGTGTATCCCGTAACGTATCTCATGATTTTCTTTAGATTTGTACCGCTATTGTTTTTCAACGGAACTACTAAAGCTTACACAAAACCAGTATTTGCCTCGTCAATAATTTAATGCATTGAAATAGAGATTGACCTCAAAATATTTAATGCATTGAAATAGAGATTGACCTCCTCACAACCTGGCTTGCCGCCGTCGCTCATAGATGGCGGTAGGTGTCCAGAGTTCGGTGTCTTCGTTTCTTTGCGGGGGACACGATCCTGGGGAAACTAGCCCTTAACAGCTCCGCTGTAAAACAGTACATTGGATTTAGTCCGCACGTCACTCCTAGTGGGACTTTGGCAAGATCCTACAAGGTCGATGGACCAATTTTTCACTGGCGTCGAGTCGCTGGCTTTTGGTGGCTTTTTGCGCCGTGCACTAGCCATCGTGTCATCTGACAATTGTACCAGGCATTTTGCTTCTCGCCTGGGTGCTCTATTCTAGAGGGCGGCACTATGGCGGTACTCTGATTTCGTTTCGTGTTTTCCAGTTGCCTGTTTTTTTGTCATCAGCGGCTCAAGCGCAGTTGTTCAGTTTACACTTTCAAATAAATATTTGTTTGTACGAGTACACACGCGCTTTGATTCGCTGATTTGCGTACCTGGCGGGCAAAGGTGAGGGGTCGAATTCCTGCTCCATGGCCATCGCTTACGTCCACACTGATGATATCGGTGAATGTAAATTTCTTGCCCTAGTGAAAAATTGTGGTTATAGCAATGTCCCACACATAGATGTTATTCTGTCCGGACAGACAGCTTTTTCACATATGGGGCGTTCAAAAGTCGCCTCGTAATGTTCCCAACACGGAAAGCGTTCATCTCACCTTTCAAAATTCTGCAATATCTAAATCGTTTTTTTTTTTACTTTTTTTAACCCTACAATTCTTGTTTTCCTTCTTCCCTCTCGTCAGTTCTTAACTAGGTAGGGCTCTTAAACCTTGCTTTGAGAAACTTTATATATATATATATATATATATATATATATATATATATATATATATATATATATATATATATATATATATATATATATATATATATATATATATATATATGTATATATATATATATATATATATATATATATATATATATATATATATATATATATATATATATATATATCGTTATGTAGACAAACAGGACTGTTATCGCCTCTTTCCCTCTAATGTGTTTTTCTTCTATAAGCGAGCCTAAAATGACGTGCTACGTCACTGCCCCAACTCGGAACTAGCGGAGCCTTAATTCAGCAAGTGCCAGGCGGCTATCCAGTTAAAGGACACAGCTAGCTGGTCAAAAATATAGTCCTCCAAAACCAGTGGCTGGGAAGGTCCAATGAAGGTCCAGTCTAATTGGTTGAGGCGTCGCCCCGGACAGGCGAAGGTTGTGGGTTCAATCCCCACTCCTGTCCCAATTTTTCGCCAACTCTCTTTCCCCCTTTCCTTCCCCTAAACATTAAAGCAAAATAAAAAATCACTCCTTCCACTCTTCTTTTGTAATAATACCAAGGCTACACTTGTCAAAACTTACTCCCTACCCTTCCAAGCACCACTATGGGCAGGGCTTGCTGAGCTGTTTTTGCGCGCAATTTTTAAATCTAGTAAAACAACGTTAAAATTGATCAATGAATTTCTAAAAAAAAAAAACAAAAAAAAACGTTACTTTTTTGCAATATTTTTAAATTGGTCGGGCCTTTAATAGCGATTGCCGTCAATACTGAAATTCCAACATGAAGGCTAAAGCCAAAATTAAAACAAAAAAGTTAATTACCCCATTGTAGTTAATTAGCTAATGTATGACGATTATTCTCTCACCTGATGTACGCCGAGCCTGATAAATACACGGTGAAAACGGCACTAATCTAACTCTCACTCTCTTTTTTTTTTAATTTGATCGAATTAAAATTATACACCCTCCATATTATTCGCTGACGCTTTCATCGATTACCACGGTGTGATGACCCTGGAACAAAGGCCCAGACTTACCTCAGTGAGTTCCTTCCGGATTTGATCAACTCTCGCTGAGAGCTTGTGACAGTGCGAGTACCCCGCAAATTCCCCACCTTCCAAGTCGTGCTCTTTGCTGTTCAGTGTTCCGTTCGCCGGCATTGTGTTGAACATTCTAGCCAATTCGTCTGTGAAACTCCGCTGGTAGGGCTTTAAATCAGAATGGTATTTCCGCTGATGGTATCGTCATCATAAAGGCTGGTCCGAGCAGCTGTGTGCCGATCGTAACATTGCGCATCCGCTGTGTGAAATCTATTACAATGACGGCACGGAGATTGAACGTTGGGTTGCACTTTTTTTTTTTCCTTTATAGCGGGCATCTCACCAAACACCTTTTTCCATTATGTTAAATCACGTGGCATAATCATTATACGGCCACACGGTTACCTACACGCTTCTCACCCTTAGCGTAGAAAACTAATGATCGCTTCACCTTGACACATGCAATAAAAATATATATTAAATATTCCATTAAAACACTCGTTCGGGCTCAGAATGTCGGGGTTCTGAGTTCGATTCTCGTTGGGAAACATCCAGAATTCTGTTATTTCTTCTCAATTCATCATTATTTCTTCCCAGTTACGTGTTCCTTTGTTTTCCCCTGAAATCTGCGTCACCGTCACACATTTCGTGATGGATTTTTGTGGCGTCCTGTCACGCAGTGTTCAACTACTTGGTGAGTTGGGATAAACATATCGTTACCATTAAAAGCTCGCTCGGCGTCATCGACAATCAGTCAATTTGAGAAATACCTAAGCTCGTGGAAAGCATGGGGATGCGCAAAAGTTACCGTTAGTGCTGTCGGGGGCAAGGCTGGTGGAATGAAAATGCGCGTAAGAAACGGAAAAGTCACCCGGGAGCGTCGAAGCTAGATGCTTATTTTTTGGGACCCAGAAAAACGAAGCACACTCTGAATGCCCTTGTAAAAGTGACTGATTTAGTGTTTTTTATTATACCCATCAAGTTTCTAATTAAAACTATAGTTATCTTTTCACTAATTATAAAATTAATTATGCAGATCTAATTAAAAACGAAATATCCTCAACCCTATCTACATCAATAAATAGGTCCCTTGACGTCGACCTTTACGGTTCCCTATTTCTGCGCGATGGGTAGTTTTTGCACGAAGATTTTGCCCGATGTTCCGTGAGAGGGTATATTACGTACTACGATGGCTACTTGTAGAAGCAATGCTACACGTAGAAACCAATATGGATCTAGAAAATATCACTAAAATGTATTTTACATTTTTTTTAGCCGCCTGAGGCTGGGTAGAGAGCGAGAAAACTCCGAAGCGGAAGATAAGGAGAGCGAATGACAGAAAGGGTCCATCCGTCATTCTGTTCCTTTCTCGTTCTCCACCGTGTCTTGGGTGGTTTAATAAAATGGTATATCTACACCAGCTCGCCTGCTCTATTACTGTTTTATCGTAAAAAGTATATTGTTACTCATATCTCCTCTTTGTGGTATACACAGCGCGATAGAAAACTTATCTGATGACAGCTTTAGGAACGCTGGTCTGACATTGAATATGCATTGTTAACATATTTGACGGAACAAAGTAAACACAACATTGGTGCTTTGCCGCATTTTAGTAGACAATGGATTGAAAAAGTTTTAGTATCCAAACTTTTTTTTTTTCAATAAAGACATGTTTATTAAGAATTATTTCACAGTATTCACGAACACAAAATTTTGCCATCCAAGTTGTTGCCCCCTTTTCGCACATTTAATCACAGTCGTAGTATTGACGTCAGTGTTCCAATCGTGAGAGAAAACTAATAACAACCAGCAATCCCTTGTCCTGGTATGTGTGACACATAGCAGGACAAAACATTTAACAACCATTCACACATAACCTGAAAAAAAAAAATTAAATAATAAGTCTTAATCGCGAAATGGTCACCTTTGTGCAAAGAGAACCAACAAGATGGTGAAATAGAATCAAAGAAACTATTGCAACTATTGTCCGGCTATTATTAAGAGTGTTCGAAAATCACAACCAGTATATAAAGCGAATATCTGTTAAAAACTTATTTTGAGGTTATGAACTTGTAAGTCCTATGACCAAGTGGCAAAAAAAAAAAAGGAAAAAAAAAAAGAAAAAAAGAAAGGGGTATGTCAAACACTACCAGGAGGAAATACTGAAAACTTCCCTGTCTACTCGGGGCTTACAACCCATGATCATCGGATACGGAAACGCAACAGCGATATTTGGGAGTATTGCATCAGCGACGAAAACCTCCCACGTTTGAAGCCCTCTTGTCCCGGTGTTGTGCCGAGTATTCCCAACGGTTTGTTGCTG